ACATGGAGTCAATAAAACTGAATGTCAAGATTGGGGCAAAAGTCCTGAGCCAAGAGTGAGACCTTCTTGTCATTTTTTTAAAAAAATTGGTCTTAAACAATAGTTCTTCAGACTTTCTGAAGGTCTTTGAAAAGTTTTTCTTTGGACATTGGCTGCTTTTTCCACTCATTCTCAGTCCAGTCCTTCCATTTGACGTTTATTCAGAGGAATAATCTTTTTTGTGCAACTTAATATTGACCTATGAATCATAGCATAAAAAAGGGAACCTAACTCAAACCGTTGTCAGTGTGAGTCACATTACAGACAACTTGGAAAAGTACTTATTTTAAATTGTATCTTTGGGCACTTTGTTACTAGCAGCCTGTTATATAAAAACATAAATTGTTCCCATTTCTTTAGTTGAATCTATGAAAAAGTGTCAGATAATACAATTAGGCAGACATAAAATAGTATTTTTGCTTGGTGTGTAGTGTGTTCTTAAATATTTGAGAAAATTGCAAAATAGAAGACAAAAGAAGTGAAAGGCCTAAAAAGCTTTAGCAGATGAAAAATATCTGAAAGCAATGTCCTTGTAAAATAAGAAAAAATCCAGTAAAGACTGGAACCAGAATCAGATGGATCTGACCTTTCAGTTTATCCATCTACTGTTCACTGAAGCCTCATCAGAAATGGTCTCACTGAAAGGGTGGCTTTCAAGAAGCTGTTCTTAAGGAAGGAAAACAGGGAGAAAAGGCTGAGGTATGCCGAATTACACGAGATGGAATTATAAATGCAGAAAAATACCATCACATTTTGATCCACCATCAGTACCATCTGGAAAAGCATCTAACTATGTGCTCCAATAGGTGTAGGCTGCTGGGGGATTCCCATGATGCACTCAGTGCTTCTTTAGTCACCTTTCTCACTCACTATGTGTTAATAGACCTCTCTGCGTTGAATCATTACTTATTAATTATCTCTGGCTCTCTTCCACGGCATGTCTTTTGTCCCGTCTTCCTCCCCTCCCCCCTCACCCCAACCGGTCACGGCAGATGGCGGCTCTTTCCTGAGCCTGGTTCTGCTCGAGGCTTCTTCCTGTTGAAAAGTTTTTCCTTCCCACTGTTGCCAAAGTGCCTGCTCATAGGGGGTCGTATGATTGTTGGGTTTTACTCTGTATGTATTATTGTAGGGTCTACCTTACAATATAAAGCACCTTGAGGCGACGGTTGTTGTGATTTGGTGTTGTATAAATAAAACTGAATTCCATTGAATTAAATGAAAAGCAGCCATCATCCAAAGACAACTTATTTCAAATTTTATAGCAAAACAGGATGAAATGAAGGGTGGCTCAAGACATTTGCACAGTACTGTATATGATAGTCCTGTGAAAGAAGCTTTTTATAATGCTGGCATTTGACTCCTCAAAGTATCCTGAAAGTATCCTTAGCAGCCAATACAGTTATCAGCCAGTTGATTAACACGTGACTATAAAAAAATCAGAAAGCAGGGATTAGAAACAGTTGGGGATAGGAAACACTCACATGCTGTAAGCTGCTACAGTTCTGATGCAGATAATGTGACACAACATATGGAACTGATGCTTAGAATTGATTCATGGCTGAGAAAAAAACGTTTTCTTTTGTACAAATTTCTGCATTTGTGTAAGCATCAGATAAACAGTTAACAAACTCCATGCCTTCATGTTATGCAGTGCCATTTGTTTGTTCTTCAGTTTCAGGAAGGACCTGCAGTGGATTCTGGCGAACACCTACGTGCCATCACTCATTCAAGATGGTCCACAGTAAGTCACTGAAGTGAAGTGTCACTGTAATACCTGTCACTCAACAACTCAATCTATTTTTGGCTAAGAAGTATGTTGCATAGCACGCCAGTTTCCACAACAATTTTAAACTTCTGTAGTATTTTATTGTTTTTAGTTATTTGGTTTACCTGAATTCTTTTACGTGGGTGGGTGACATATTTGTTCAGTGTGTTATTTCTGGTAACCTTGTAGGTGTGGTCTGGTGGCTTTGTGGATGGCTGCTCACCTACGGCAGCCGCGGCTGAGTGTCGACATGGAGACGGTGGTTCAGACAGCTCTGAGCAGGGGATACACGGCTCAGGGCGAAATGTTCTCGGGTATAAAATAAATGTGTGAACTCTTCAGGTCTGTTTGTATTTGGGAGCAAAAAAATAGCACAAAAGAAACAGGTGGAGGCTGTGATTAAACATTTGGAACTTTATGACACATTTTGCAGCCGATATTTAATTTAATGTTTCACAAGCAAGTAAACATTCAGTTTCAAGCTGGTGAATTTTGATTTCTTTATGTTCTCATTAAGCTTTTTATTTTGTCAGCTGACAATATGGCCCTGCTGGCAGAAGAGGTGTGTGGCTGCAAGGCCAAGCTCCTTTCAGGGGGTCTGAGTGGTAATAATGCTGCAGCCATCATCTCACACCTGTGGGGGAGACAGCCTGTTCTCATCCCGTATCCTGGACCAAACCATGGGGAAAGGGTTGCTGACAAGGAAAAGCAGTAGATTTGGATTTGTGATTAAAGAGAAAAGCAAAACTCCTTGACAGTTTTTACAGCTATGACGAGGATTACAACCATGAGCCGTGCCAGCGTAGTGGCCACAGAGCACACTGGGCAGTTGCTTCAGGTAAGAATGAATAGCTAACCTAACCTAAGGCAGGGTTTATTATGTAGGATTTCCCTTAAAGTGAGCCTAGTTTGACTAATCAGACCACACAGTAACAGAGTTTATTCATTCCAGGCGTTCTCCTCGGTGTGGACCAGGGGAGTGTGAGTAAAGAGCACGCTCAGCCTGATCCCTCTCTGCCGTGGCTCTACCTCGCCGCCGACAGCAGCTCATCTTGTCCTGCCGGCAGCACGGCACTCAGAGATGTTTACATCCTCGCTAAGCAAGGTAAAAGCTTGCGCTACCAGCTGTGGAGTTTGGACACTGTAGCTCAGAGCAATGAGCAGCTGAGGATGATGGACCCTCAGAGAGCCAGTGATGGCACCAAGTATGTGGTTCCCAAAGGAGGGGTGGAGGCCGGTCTGGCTGGAAAGGCGGTGATGCTCCACACAAGGTCCACACAGTGAAGCAGACACACATTATGTATGTAATTAAAAGGGCTTTAAAGTAAGGGTTATCAGGGAGAAGCCACGCCCACATGTTCAGCCATGCTCTGGTCAGTTTTTGTAAAATGTGTAGTCGTCTTATAATTTTCCACTAACAAGGATTGTGTCAGTTTAACTGTAAAAGCTATATATATATATTTTTTTTAGAATATCCACAATTTATTTGGAGAGGAACAGTGTTTATGTAATTTTTGCCTGTTACACCACCTTAATGGATTTTAAAATAAACAGTTAAGGAGACAGGCCGTGTAATTTCTCTGGAGGAATTTGTTTGGAACATTTATTTTTTCGAACCAAGCTCAATCTTTCCAATTGAATCAATCAGATCACTGCTTTTGGCAAAAAGCATGCTCATAGCACAGTACCGAATACGCAATGATATACTTAATAGTAACGTAATACTATTTTACGTCAGATGCACAGCTGGATGCTGCTCCGGGTCAGTCGGCTCTCTGAAAAGATTCCTCTAGGGTTTCAAATGTTGCTTTTCTGGCTGCTGTTGAGCTTGTTTAAACACTGCTAAATCAAACAAGTTTACTTTTCTGTCATTCAAATGAATGCTTTTATGGAGCAGAGAGCATAGAAAATATGTCAGGAGATAAAAGCCTGTGCTGGTTGTTGCAGTGTTTTTGTCAAGCGCTGAAAACATACTTCTAGTTGTGCAGGTCCTCAATCATCCACATCACGGTAGTTTTAACCGCTTCAATCGAAGGCAGTTCAAAGAATTTACATCTTGACTCATGTAGCAGTGACACGTGATTACAGGGTGAGTTAAAGACCGCCTCCACGGTAAAAACCACACTGAAGACATACTGAATACCCGAGACTCCTCATTAGCCTTTAGAACCGAAAAAGCCTTTCAGTTAGGAGGTGAAACATCTATAAGAGCCATAAATGTTCAGTTTCCTTCAACTCAAATGCTGCAGACACTACAGGATACATGCTGGCTTCAAACCGTACCTCACACTGGCCATTAACGTGTTAAGATCAGAAGACTTGTTGATTTTGCAATGCCGTCAGAATTTTGTGCAACTGGTGTGTGAAATCATGGTTTTCTCTCTAATTTTGAACCATTGTTGTACAAAAAAAAAGAAAAACGCGGAAGTCATTTTGATCATGCACTCGTAAAATGTGTGAGTAGACAAATGAATGTGAACAGCCCATCAGTTTCCATGGGCTCAAAGACAATCAGATAAACGAAGATAATTATAAAATCTGCTCCGATGAACCTCATTTGCAGTTGGCGACTGCCTGAAGCCTGGGTGGATGTTATGAAATGCTTTATTTCCTCCCTGCAGGCCCGTTACCAAGTACAAATCCGGCTTAGTTAAATAATTGTAACTAACCCATTTATAAGCTTACAGTTTGTCCCCCTTAAGAAGCTTGTAGGTTGTTTATGAAGCACCAGTTTTGCAGCGTTTGACTGAATTTGAGTAGAAGTCATGCACACTTCAGAAGTCGTCCTGCTGCTTCTGTCAGCAGTCACACCATCGATACGCCCATACTATAACAGCGCCTCCAGCATGTTTGACAGATGATGGAAATCGCAAGCCATTCCTCAGCGCTGAGGCATAGTATGACCTCTAAATCATGCAAAGTTCATCTAAATGTGGAATTTCTACAGCCAAAATGATAAACTAGCACTTTGATTCCTAATTTACATATAAAAAATAAAAAAAAAACAAGAAGCTACTGTCACATCTAATTTCCTTTGGGATTATAAAAGTATTTTGATTCGGATCTTCATTAAGGTGGTTTCCTTGTCTCTGTACTTGTGGACTGCTAATTTTCTTATCAACCAAAAATAAATTGTCATCTAGTTTTTACACAAAGTTTCCACCATCTCAGTTTTCAGGAACAGTTCAACACAAAATGATTCATCTGGTTTTATTTAGAAACTTGTGATAAAAGGTCACAGCTGACTGAACAGGACATATTCTTACAGTAGTGTTAAATTAATTAAATGTTAGATCATCTTGATTCAGCGCTCTTTTACAAAATTATATGGTTTGGTGTGTGTGTGTTTGCACAAAGAACTGAAAAAAAATTACAATAAAAATCCCCCAAAACTCTGAAAACTCTCCACTTTCATTTTATTGTAATCCACGACCTTCTGGACAAAGCAGAGGTTTATAAACAGTCAATCAGTCCGTCTGTTCTTTCTGTGAAAAGCGCTGCCTTTGAAATACAAAATGTGGTCACGAATCCAGTTTTCTTGCTTACAAAGCAGCACCCTCTTTGAAAACCTGATAGTTTGACATTTTACAAATATAGAGACTTTCTGGGCAAAGGTTTTTAACACTTTGTAAACACTATACTATCTGTCTCTCCTGCCATGTTTACCCTTCGGAGATGAAAAATCTAAACTCCTGAATTTGAATTCCAATCTTGTTAAGTCACGCGTTCACAGCACTTATGTGGGAAATGTGCGTGCCGAGTAAACCACACACCCACACCCACCCAAACAGTGCTGCCTGACACTGTCAAAGGAAGACTGGACACTTGACGTTCACCAATGCGTCACATTCCCGTCGGGATCTGATGCACATGCTCACAAGCACGGCCTGCACGTATAACAGTGTTGCTTCTTTGTAAACTTTCAATGTTGCATACAAAAATGTAAAAACCCACATTCCTCCCGTCTATCCTAGCTTAATTATGTTTACAGCGGTGTCCTTTAACCTCTGTTTTACTCAAGACACCTGTCATCGCTCATACACAGATTTTATTTTTATTTTTTTTTTGGTTTTGAGTTTGTGTGTAAGTCAGAGCCCACACGAACTGATCAGATTAATCGGGTAATTCCAGTTTCACAGACTAAAGCAACACAAATCGAGATAACAGGCAGAAATATTTACGTTGAACAGTAAACCCAATACTTAAACCTCTGCTGGACACGCACAGACATGTTTTGTTCAATGGCTTTGTGAGAATCCATAGTGCAACAAACTTCAGACAAACAAGGCTGTCGAGCTTCTTACTAAAAATCACTGCATTTTCATACAAAAGTCCAATTAAGAAAAAAACTGTTTCTGTTTCTAAGAAAAGTTAAAACGGTGGGATTTCGATGTAAATCGATTCATACTTGGGTGAACTCTTTTGGAAGTAAAATAGCACGAGTCCACTGCAACTGGAATGATCAGATAGCTCAGTTTCTTTTTTAAAAAGCCAGGCACAGAAATCATACAAACACAGTAAGAAGGCTATACCAAGGCAGGAAAAAACAAAACAAAGTTAAATTAAACTGTATTTACATGCTGAGTTAGTTAACACGTGGTCTGACCACTGTTTTTAGTGTTGCTGTATACTTAGTCATCAAAAGTGGTCCATGATAAAAAAACAAAAAACAAAAATCCAACACTCCTCAGAGGCTCGTTTAAAAAAACAAAAACAAAAACAAACAAACAACAAAAACAAAAACACGCTCCTGTTGGTCAAGATCACGGCTGAGGAGGTGGCTGCTCTGGCCACCTCTCGCCAACAGACGGAGCTGTGAAGAGGAGCGAGATGAGTCTCTGCAATAAAAAGTCACTGCTAGAAGTCCATGAGTGCAGAGGACTGTACTCTCAGAAAATAAACCACAGCCCAAGTAAAACAAAACAAAGTTACAATTGTGCTTTAAATTTAACAGCTCGTGCCATCTGCCCCCTTATTCCACATAATGCATAACGTTAACCTTTTGGCATATTCCACTTCGCCCGCCCTTCTCACACTGGTTCAAGTTGATAAAGTCACTTGGTGTGAGCCCTGAAAGGAGTAACTGAAGTGGTGGCCCTCTGTTAGCCATTCCTCTGTCACTCTTAGTTTGTATAATCTTCTTCAACATCCCATCAGTCTCTTACTGCAGTCCCGTGTCTCGCTCAAGGAGTCTCCGGGAGCATGGTGCTGAAGATGTCTATGAGGTTGTCCAGTCCCCACAGGTAGCCGTCCTCCCTGTTGCCCTCCACCCAGGGAGTCCTGTGGTCGAGAGTTTGAGGTGTCTGCAAGGGGACCGTTTTTCCAAAGTCGATCATCCAGACTTTCGCTTTTCCTGAGGCGTCGTGCACAAACAGAAGAGAGCTGCCCACAACCTGCAATCGATAAACCAGCAAGACCAGTGAGTTTAGGTATGCAGCGCTGATGGGATGATATCAAATCAGCAACACAGACAACAGGTCTGTTAGAAGAAGTCAGAACGGAGTCCGTCTCACCTCGTGTGTCCTGAAGAACTGTGACTGCTCCAGGGCTGAGCGTAGTTCCTCCAACCGCTGCAGGTAGAGTTTCTGAGGAAAACAGAAAAGGACACAGAAACTGAGACTGTGACAATTTGCACTTTTTGTTCTTCTTTCTTATTTAAAGGTAAGTGTAAAACCTTACATCCTTGTTTGATGCATGTGCTACCGCGTGAAACAAGGATGTAAGTCCTGTATGGAGTGAGCACAGTGCAGACCCGAGAAGCAGTGGAGCATAAAGCAGCATCTCTAAGATTTACTGATGAACATGCCACATCTGGTTTGTCTTATTTGTACAAATCTAAGAACAAAGTAACAACTTGTTGTCTATGTGTCTGATGCGAGTCAGTGAGAGACTCCTCTAAATAACAGAACAACATATCAGTGACCTTCAGAGGAGCTGACAAAGCCACGATAGCCGTTTCCTCTTCTCACAGGCCGAGTCAAACTAAGCAGATGCTGATTCTAGCTTTTTGCTTTTTTGCATTTACAAAACACAAGAATTGAACAACATACCAGAATCTGAGTGTTGCCATCGACAAAGTCCTCCAAGGCCTGCATCACTTGCTCTCTGTGTTTTGTCTTCTTAAAGTTGGTGTTGCAAGTTCCATCAGCTCTCTATATAGAATAAAAGGAAACCATCAAAAATGTCATAATGACTCACTTCAGCTTATACATGCTGATTCACGCTACTATCTGCACAATTGAAGGTTTTAACAGTTGTGTTTTGTCGAGGTGGAAACAAATGGCTCTAAATAAATTCCACAGTCACGGAACTCGTTCAACTGGAAAATACAGCTGCAGCGAGCCTTTAATACACTGTGTGTCATCACATATTTTCTTTAGTCTCTGAGTAGCATGCAAATTCACTATTGGCACAAACTGATAACCAGCCTCGGATTTATTTTCGAAAGAACAAACAGTCCCCCTAATGACTGCATGTTAACCAACCACATTTTCCATTTCACCCCAGTGCACGTGGTCTGTCTTGTGAACAAACTGATAAGTGTTTACTCCCGCTGATTGGTTTACGTCTTTGCAGCAACAAGCACAGCTGTTTATTCTCTTGAAGCTGAGGTCTTCGGGCTAGATGCGTTTGTGTGTTCAGCATGACCTCTTACCTTAATGCCTTCGATCCGGAAGCCCAGGGTGGCGGTGGAGCTAAGCGTCTCCCTCCACTGCATGTACCGCGGTTTGAGGACACCCTGCTTGGCCCGTTCCTCCTCTGTTGGAGCCCCGGGGTCCACGGCAATCATTTTGTCGTACATATCCTTCCTCAAACGTGGACGCTCCCTGGCTTTTGTCAGCTCCTCCTCCAAGTAAGTCCTGAGAGTTTGGGTTAGATTTAAATGTTTGCACAGCCTTCATTCTACATACACGATTCAAGAGTAAATGTGCATGAAGGTAAACTCTTAAGGCTCATTTTGCCTTCCTAAGGCACAAGCCGGTTTTGGAAAAATGCTTTTTACACAAATACACTCTCCTTGTCACGTGCAAAGTCTTACCTGCTGCCCATTTTGCAGTCCATGATGGAGGGCGAGTCAAAGTCAGCCAGCAGGTCATCCATCAGGTTGTAGTCGTGGTCGTCTTTTTGTACTACGCCGTAATATCCGGGCACGTAGGGGCGCAGAGAGTCCGTCATTAGCTTCTGCAGGCACTGCTGCTCACACTCGCAGTATCGCTTCAACAAACGCCCATACTCCCCAGCCTGGAAGTTACCTTGGAGAAAGATAGGGAAAGAAAATTAATGACGCATGAGACAGAAAGATCAGAAACTACAACATGTCTGTGCATTTTTGTTTGTCTGCAGATCTGAAAAAAGGCGTACAAGTGAGCAGGATAGAGCCGGCACTGTTGCCCTTAAACTTTATGCTTGCCAGCCTTTCAGTAGATACAACAGTAGCATAAATCTTTTGTTCTTTTCTTAGAAGGAACCTCCACCATTTACACATACCTGCATGGCCAGCAAGCTGCACCCATGGGTAACGCTTCTTGAAGGACACGACAAAGGGGGACCAGTGAACCATGGTCTTCAGCTTGTGCCAGGACTTACTCTGAAAGATGAAAAAAAAACAACAGAGGGTTTCATCGCCTTGTTTAAAAAAAAAAAAAGCATGGGCAGTCACACACATAATAAATCTGAAGCTCTGACTAATTAGAAAAGGAGCTTTCTTTCCTGGACAAACACAGTACTGAGCTGAGTGCAGGCCAAAAGACTGATTACTCATTAAAAGGAAAACCCAACCTGTACTGTCCTCATACCCACACAAACATATCAGTAGACATTGGACAGACCCTCCCCTGCAGCCAAGGCCAGGTGTGCCGCATACACGACAAAGCCCATTCATGAAACATTTACCAAAGCCTCCGCTGTG